ATGGGTATACAACAGGTGCTAAAACACATGCTTGCCTTTCCATTGTCAATATTATTTCTAAGGTGATGTAGGGACTGAAAACAAATGCAAAGCAAGATCGGTGTTCAAGCAAGTACGTAGTATTGGCCTGTCAACAGGTTAATTTGGAAAAAGGGACGTTAAGAACTTAGGCAATGAAACATGTGAAGAGGATCTTGTGTAATGTCTCATCAAGGTAGAATAATTCCATCCTATCATGATAGCCCAAAATCCAAAGTCTCTGTAAAAGGGTTCTATAGAATTACAGGAAATCACAGTAAGGAGCTGCCTTACAGAAGCAAAGGGTGAATTCTTCCCCTTTGTAAGCAATAAAGAGAATTTGGCATATTAATGAGAATCATAATGAACTAAACATAGAAATCAGTAATGTATTTTCTCTAGAGAGCACATATGATTGAAATGACTACCATAAAACATTACTTTTAACCACATGGATCACACATTTTGTTTAACTGGCCTCTTCTTGGGTTGCTGGGCTGTTTTGCAGATGATCTCTGGGTGTTTCTAACAATGTCCTAACATATTCTTTGTTCCTTGCTTATATCACTTGTATCCCTGGCTTTGCAGAATTTAACAAGCTTACTTCCATCTCTTTGCCACCTGTTTCTCAAATTGAGTTCAGTAGGAACTCAAGTGCTCTGCATCTCTCAGGATCAGCCCCTAATGATCTCTTCATTGTGAGCAGTGAGTCTCTCTCTTAGCCTGAATTAATGGATCGATATGAGGGGAGAATGTCTGCATTGTCTCAAATTGTCTGTCTTGTTGGATAGATCTCAAGCCTTATCATTTTTTATCTTCTCACAGAAAGCCTGAAGGCTGACACTTCTGTTGTTAAACAAAACAGCATTTATATTGCATTAATGCCTACAGGCCAACCACAGGGTCCCCATTGTGCTGTTTATGGTGCTAATTTCAGTCTCTTGTATGGAAGCTCCACTTTGACTGAGCCATCTTAAAAGATTTTGGGATGCCACCGTTCCAGAACTGGGTTCACAGCGGAGCTAGCCTTTTTTTTAAAGGCATTCCCAGAAAACAGGTGATGGATATACCTGAATTTTATCTTAGAGTTAGCAAAGTTTAAATGGTAGCTGGTCATTCGATTAGCTTCAACAGACCCAATCTACTAAGAAATGTTCACACACTTATTTTGTGTATCTTTTTATCTCAACTCAACACAAAGGGTTGACTCTATCAACTTTCCAGTTATTGGCAGATATTCGTTTGTTATATTTTTACTTTAAATCTTGTCAGTACACAGGGGACTGAACAGATCTGGGGGGGAACGAAATGTGCAGCCTTTTACTTCTCTCACTGGTTTGGATCCAGCCTATGTAAGTAACAACTGCAAGATTTTGCCATCAGAAGACTGTTGATGTCTTCTGTCTGTTCCCTAGAAGACAGCTGTCCATATCTCAAACAGCAGCCTCCTAACTGACATTTGCTGTTTCAGACTCAAGTACCCTCTCACCAGCAGAGCAAGTCAGGAGTGAGGTGCGCTGGCAGTGAACACTGAGGAAGCTTGTACTGCTGTTGTCTGTCTCATACTTCTGAGTACAGATGGGCTGCAGTCTCTGGGCCTGACAACCAGCATCTCTTACAGCCCAGGAATAATTAATTGTTGGTACGGTTGTTAGTTTTGGTAGTGCCCACAAAATGTGCTAGGTGCTGTACAAATGTAACCTATGGGTTAGTATGTGTTATCAGTCCCATTCTGTGCCTAATCCCAGAGGAT